ACCTAGCTGCCTTTGAACCATCGTAGAATTTCTTATGAAATAGGCAACATTTTTAACATCCGTTGTAGGCTATAAGCCATTGGCATACACGCAGACGCTCAAAAACACGCGTTCGAATGCACGTATATATATATATATATATATATATATATATATATATATATATATATATATATATATATATATAGGCAGTGTATGTACGCGAACTTCCTGCTTACATGGCAAGTTTATGTGGAAAGGCAGAACGACCGATCCCCTACTATAGAAAACCATTGCTGACCAATCAATCCCGCAACAGTATTGAGCTGGTTTCAGCCCAGAAACGAAACGTAACCACCGAACTATATAAGAGAGAAAGCTATTGCACTTAATTGACGTATGCTACACGATTGATTTTGGTTATTTGACTATCATTGTAAAACTGTATGGCGACCGATGGCAGAGGCAGGATGTAAAGCACAACCTGTTCTTGCCTAATTCGCTAAGTCAGCTATCAGATCCCTATGGACGCGTTCGGGTTGCATTGCATTTACGTTGGCTTGTGTTTGGTAATAGGTGTGGACGCATGTGATTGTTTGTGTGTTCGCAGGGAATGCGTTTGTATGAAAACCCGCTATCTGTTCTTGCATCTGTTCTATGCTCGACACCCTGGCTAGTTCATTTTAAACATACTGATAACGCTATAAGCATTAAGGCGAATTCCCATTACTTATCATTAACGCAGATAACCACTATATGAGAAGACAATTCCAAATGCGGAAGTATGTGTATGCTCTCCGAAATAGATCATTCTGAGTGATAAACAACTTAAAAGCATTGTCGTTTGTGTATATTAGGTGTTCATCATTAAATTATTATAAATAAGAACCATAAAATAACAGCTTTGCGATCGACTCATGAGCTGCCGGACATGTATCCGGCTCTAGTTATTCTACCATTTTCTGTCAACACAAAAACGCAACCCCATATGAAAGCTTCTTCTGCACTGTTATTTTGATACAAACTGTTTTTGTGTACACGTGCGGTTATCTGTCCCCGAAAGGTTTCGCTGAATTTCAATACTTCTAAATTATATCACGTTATCTTTAAAGCTCACTTGTTTTGTATTAAATTACAGCTTTGTATCAAATTCAGTTTGTGAATACTATGCGCTAACAGCTGTAAACGTGTACGCCATAGAGACAGTTATTTTCGTCGCCGATACAGGGAGTGTATGCAGATTTCATGGAAAAGGGAATAAAAATCTATCGATATGATGCTGTCGAAAACCGTAAAGACGAGATGAAGATAGAAACGATGAAATACAGAGAAGAACGTAGAAGATGCTTGGGACGAAAAGCATAGCCAAGATGCGCTTTTACTTTAGATCGATTCCAAAATCAGGTCTCTTGTTCATCTTGAAAATGTATCTGGAATCGCCATAGATTAATGTAGAGATATACACAGTCCCTGGGTTAAGTTCAGCTGAACTAAAAATGCTTGCGCCTGCCTGGGTTTGGTTGGCTGAGATTTGCGGCATAACATAGGGGTATCAATAGCTTAATAAACAGCTGTTGCATCACTGAATGTTATGGGCTAGCGCGTACTTTTTAGAATGTTAAAATCCAGTTTTATTGTTATTAAAGAGGACTTTATGGACATTTAACAATCGGAAGGGGCGTAAATTTAAGGCTAGTCACAATAATTTGTTTTTGACATGGCTCAAACTTCGAAATTTCTTCAACGTATAACATTTGGGGAGCGTTCAGCGAATCCTATTGGAATAAACAGGTACAGAATAACTAACCGACCTATTATGAATACATATTGATCTTACCTCTATATTATTATGCGCGAAGGCCTTTTATTACGATCTTCCGTCGAGAGGCCCTAGTTGAAGTCGCACGCCCTGTCTAACCCCTCTCTGCAAAAGGTCGATCATCACTGAAATAGAATAGAGGCTTTTTTCTATTCGAAATATAGCGTAGGTAAGGTATTTATATAATGAAGTTATTCACCTTCGGCCTGATTTCTAACGTTATTTCTTTCAGATGTACAGCATTTCGAGGGAACGGCCATGTCGGGTATAATGAGTTTGCTAGCCAATAAACAGATACATTGACCGCAAAGTTTCTGGTCTTGAGTAGTATTCAAATTGCCTTTGTAATGAGCACTTTTTTAATGACTCAACGTTCGATTGCATCTGGTAATGTCATTAAACTGCACACAATAAATGTGCCGAAGCTTATTAGAGATCCTTTATAATCTAAGTAATATATACCTTCTTCTGTTTACTTTTTGAGTGACGTGTTCATACACAAAAAAGCCTGTTTCACGTAGGTCAAAGATGCGGTTCAGTTCCGGCGGTTGAATTTGCTTCTGCGGAGACCTCTATCCATTAGTTCTAAAGTTTGCTTTTCTCTGAACTAGCCCGGTTTTTAACAATGATGTTGGTTTTTGGCGCAGTTATATTTGAGAATGCATCGGCCAACGATTGATTCAGTCTACGTGCGTGAACTAAATGTTGGCCGATGACACACGCGAAACACGGAATATTGCTGTAACGTCAACAGAAGGCCGACACATTCGACGCGTATTCGAACTTTTCGCCTAAATGCCGACTTTAACTCAGAAGAGATTTATGTGGTGTATAGGTAACGTGGTTTGGCCTCACAATCGAAAGGAAGGAAAATTAGCGGAGAATTCGTCATAGCTGTGCACCGCTCTCCGTCTAGAGGAATCTCCCGAGCTATAATGGCAAGAGGCACGAACGACTGCTGAAAGCGCATTCGTCGGTGCCCACAGATTACTGTATATAGGGATGTAGGGCAATCTGGACGACGGCCGAGGTGTTGAAACGAGGTTTTAATGAAAGCGGAAGCATAAAAAACATCGAATTCGTTTATCCCTACGACTCAGTCACCGCCGCTATCGCCCGGCCCCGCACCTTCCACAGCTGGTCGGCTCAATGACTAAGTCACTCAGAAATTAAGCTAAAAGTTACCGCTGACTGCCAACCAGCTTTAGCTGACTCTCTCTAGTTAAACAGACAGGGTCTAGTGAGTTAGGTTTCTATAAAGCGTAATCTAGCAGCAGCGCGACCGATGAGGCAATTAACATACACATTAACACTAACCTAGCCACATTGCCCATCGGGGTAACGATTCGTACCCGCATCGTGTCAAGCGAACGTGGCGCATGGCCGGAACCGAGGAAGCGCTGGGTGTCGGGAATGTGATCGAAGTCCCCCACCAGAGTCGGGTTAGTAGAACCGGAAGTGCAGCGGCAAGAGAGTAGTATTTTCGCAGGCGGCTTCTGCTTGTTGGCTTGATACAGACTAGGGGAACAAGGGGGACGAGAGAGAGAGAGAGAGAGAGAAAATCAAATACAGAGATCTAGGAAACGTGTCATATAATGTTGTTTAAGTATCTGCGCGCTGGATAAGAACTGTAGCATGATGAATAGTAGGCAAAAAACCGTGTAACTCTATGATCAATAGAAATGGCCGAAACGAATGTGCGCTTTGTGTCACATCGTTGATTTGTCTGGAGAACGCAGCGAGCGTTGAGAGTTCATTGCCAATAATTTTAAATAGAAAAGTCAAATGTGATTAATATGTACATTGGGAATGCTTAAAAGTGCAATAATAATAATAATTTAAAAAATGCATAGTAACAGTGGGAAAGCGTATTTCGGGTTATAATAAAGCACAATCAGTTCACTAAACACATTTGATCTATTTTTAAGACATCTAATGGCCTTTCGAGCAAGGGAAACAGATTATATAGGTCAGTTGTTTAACTTCTACTTTTTTTTTCTACAAGAGAGACCTATTACTGTTCGGTTAAATTAGATTATATATTATATAGAATCAACTAAAGTATATAGAAATCACGCTGTGCAAAGTATACTGCTGCCAGACCTGTCAGCTTAGTCGGGAAAATACTAGGACCTAAGATTCGAATTTTTTTTTTCTTATTATACGCGCAATAATATGATAACAAAGTTTATACGTTACGCTTACAGCTTTTGGGATAAAATAAAATATGACATTTCATTAAGTCTAGAGTATTGCTGGTTAGGGACTTCTACAGCGCTGTCTGATCTTGCCATGTAGTATTCTATGCAATGTGACTATATAATAAGATAAACGTGACGTATAAAAATAAGTGTCAGCTATGGATGAACATGCAGCGAAAAATTTGCTAATTTAGCTCATACATCGGATTTCCCGAATTTGAACTTCCCTGCTATTGCGTCGAGATAATTCCAGTCAAGTTGACCTGTCCTAAAACGGGTGATTGACAATGAAATACCTCGAATATCCCAAGCATAAACTATTCAGCGAGGTTTTCCAGAAAATTCCGAGTCGATTTAATAATATCTTTAATATAATAATCTTTAATAAGCCAAACGTTCCAGAAAGGAATAACCGAACGGTCTAGCACCTTCGTTATTGCAGGTTCTTACTATACCTCTATCTGGACTTCTAAACTTCTAAACTAGAAGTGTGTTCCGCCACCCATCCTCAGATCGGACCAGCAACTAAGTTACCTGATGAATGAAATACCGAACCATAAAGCCTTGCCATTCAGCTCCTGGTGGCGCATACGAAGTATCCAAACATTCTGGCTTTTTTTTTTTTATAAATTAAACCAAAGATCTTGTTGCTTTGTTACTTCTACGATACTCGGTTGGCTATCGTTAATCATAACGCGATATTTTATTCGCGCTTTTCTCGGCTTTTACCTCATTCTAAGCGTGACTGCAATACACACATCAGTTTTTAATATATCCAAGAATAATGGGCAGTAGCATAACCGTAACAGTCCTTGAAAGAACTGTTAAAAAAAGAATATGTGTTGTCATTGTTCAGCTAAAAAAAGACGTATTCTTAAATGCTTTTTCCGTGAGAGGTATTACCAAAGCATCTCAGAAAGCAAGCCCACCACAGAAAAAGAGAGATTTAAAGAGAGAAGCAATAAGCAGCTATGTCATACAAAGAACGAAAATTCTTTGGCTGCCGGTCAGAAGATTATCCTCCTTACGAACCTTTCGGACAATTTCTTTATTCTCTAATAGCCTTACATCGATTGGTTCCGAATTTGTCGGTGCGTACGCCTATTGGACGTCTATCTATACTGGCCGACGATAAAGAGCATGCTAGGGGGGGAGGTAATCGGTTTATTTCGTTCGCAGTAGCACGCTTGCATCTAAGCACGCACTGACTACGTACTAACTCTCATCCAGCCTAAGCATCAACGAAAAACCCTTCTATCGCCCAGAGTCCTCTTGGCACTTTAGATGGGAATAGCAACTCTTTATCCTGTTATTCCCCACCGTTGCGACGGAAATCGAGGGGTTGACGGCCTGCAGTGAAGCCCTTAGCAGGAAACTTACTCGACAAGTATACTTGGCTTAGCAGAGGAGTAAAAGTTGGACGTGCTGCGTGCAAGACGTGGTGGCCACACGAACTCATGATTGTCTATAGATTTGCTCAACAACGTTACTTTTTTTTTAAAGAAAGTGATCCATTCCGTTAGAATTTACGGTGGTCCGTGTTGTTGAATTTAGTTCATATAAAAGCGAATTTAAGAGCTTGTGCAGCTTTTAGCTGGTAGATAGAAAAAGCTGTTTTGCTAGGCTAGCGTATACTACACGAGCTAATTTACACTGTCAGTAGCATTTCCCTGTAGTGTCAATTAAATGAGCATAATCAGGTCGTTCGTATTGTGATCAGGGAACCTGACTTTTCATTTTTGCAGCTAAAAGTAGCACGAAACTCTGAGTTCTTGTTGCGGTGTTCGAACCCGACTTGTGCACTACGAAGCCCATATAATGTATCTGCAATATTTTACCATTGGTTTCAGTTGGGCTTTCGGGCGCGCTGGATCATGCCGACGAAAAAAGGTCTAGCCAACGTTAGCTTAATCTCAGGAGATCAACAAAATGCCAGCTCGTAGCTGACTGGCTAATATTCCCATTGCCATGGCATTGTAGGAACTGGGTGGGGAAGTGTTCTGCAATCCTCACCTCCTACACTACAGAGATGCACCTGTTTCAAGATCTGGTAAGATGAAGTGAACTACAGCGTATCTCGGCTGTAGTTTACAACTCCCCTGAGGTGAGCGCCTGTTTCTCCCATGCAGGTCTTACTTTTCCCTTCTGCTACCTATCTAATAGAGCAGCTGCTCCGCATGACGTCAGTGTTGCCTGTCTTTTCTTGGCAATTTGCCAATATGGAGGATCTGTACCACAGCACCGAGTACCACCTATCCTACAAGAGTCACTGTAAAAGAATGTACTATACCACAAAAAACCTTTACCAGCAATACGAGAGCCTTAGCCACAGTCCTAGTGTATAGCTAGATCATTCGCCACCTGGACAAAGCCTGCCAGGTTCGCCTGTTGCCAGATGCGAACATGTAAATGAAACCAGCAAGGCTTGCTAAGAAATTAATTAGCCTATTCACTGGCACAGAATAATGAAAGGCCTTGTCTAGCGCAGATTTATTTAACCTGCCTATACAATCGAATAAGCATTTTAAAGTTGGTGCAGTTTATCTACTGACACTTAAATTTCTGTTAATACTCCCGATACATCTGATCGGTAAATTACAGAATCTCTTCGACGACCTACACAAGATGGAGGCTAGCGATTCATTTGCTGGCGCTAGTTGAGTTAGAGTATAGGTCAAGGCATTCGTACCGGCTACGGTCCTTGCATTGTGTTAATATGAAGTTTAGGTTTCACTTAGAAGCGATAGTTAAATGGCAAAGCATAGATGTTTTGGGTATCTTTAAACATGAATTTAAATTTGTCAAGTAAAGAAAGACCATAATCTGAAAAATGCAGAATGATCTATACCGAATATGGCACCTGAGTGAATACTTTCTCACGCCTTTTTCCCGAAAATGCAACTAAGCAGAAATGAATTAATAAGCAAAACGTGACCGTTAGGAAAGAGGCCGTTAATTTCTCTACTGAAAATCCAGCTGTGTTACATATAGTTATCTGAACCACTTCAATGTATTTACGATTTTTTTCGACAAATCCTATTGAAGGCCCTCTGGCTTGCCTCGCGTTAATCCAATGCAAAATAGTACGAATCAGCTCGAGCTTATCATTTTGTTTTTGGGCAGAACAAGATTCTTCTTTAAGCAGCAAAATTAATATGTGTCTATTACGATAGATAGCCTGTGAAAGCTTATCACAAGTGTAGTATCATGTGTACAGCCCCCCCCGAGACAATGTATGTACAACATAGTGCATCATAACCTGCTGATTACTTTTCAAGTTTACAATCAGTTAGAAATAACAGGTAGGTTAAGGTTGATATTTTAACAAGGAAAACGTGCTTTGAACGTAGGAAAATGTAGCAGAAGTTCAAAGGCAATATTGTAGGGAGCTTTGGGCAGATCCAGTTACGCGCCTTGCAACTAATCGGCTAAAAGATAAGGGTGAAGTGGACAAAACTATTCAGGATATCAATAGACAACGTCCCGGAAGACGACGAACATCAACAAGCTTTACCAGCCAAGAAAGAGTACAGGAGGTTTATGGCGAAACAACCAAGATATTTGTGATACCATAAAGTTGTAAGCTTGACGTCTGTAAACGAGATGTCCATCGCGTTTAGGGCGTTATAAATGGAAAAGCTCCCATAGTGGAATGTTCTAATCTGAACCTGACATTAGAATTCTGCGAATAAACGTAGAGCATTTTGTTGGTATACCCTGCCCAAGTCTCAAAAAATACGCCAATAGACTTTTTTTTTGTGGGTACACCTTTAAGATAGTCTGGAAGACTGAAAGATTTAGAAGTCGCTATTAAGCAGCAACGCATCGAGACGAAAAAAAAAACCAAACGAAATATTTCCTATTTGAAATGTATTGATTACAACAGTGATCACTTTGAACTTTGAGGAAAAGTTAGACATTTTAAAGTAATTATTTTCAATATATGTAAATTAAAATGTTTTTGGCGCGCTTTACACTTTTCTATTAAGAAGCAGTTGCGGCTTTGAAGAAAAAAGATCATCTGTAAGAGCAATGTCTGGAGAGCGTGTAGTCTGAGATAGAGCCTGCGGCTGTCATTTTTCTAATATCGCCATTATGATTCCTGCAATTAAAGGTCAATTGTATAGTGGAAATGGTCTAATTCCGTTCAGTAATGTTGGGTGTGCATGGTACGTTCATGGCATTTTTCGGTTCGTACACGTCAGCTATAATCGACAAGCCAGAACTCATGAATCAATAGTGAATAGCGTCTACAGTAGACCATCAGATAAACACCGTAGCAGCTATATATAGTTGCTTTAGGGTGATGTCCTTTGGCACAGTTGCATATATATGGACAAGTGAGAACTTTTACACAAGATCCATCCGTTATAGCACGGTAACAAAAGAAAAAGTAAGCATTTTTCTGATTCTCGGTCGACGCATGTAGCAACGATTAATGAATTGTTAATTCACCTGATGAATCTTTGTTCGGTGACATGGTCTGGCCGGTTGATACGTACTTATTATAAAATGTACACCGAACAATTAAAAAAAGTACCGAGGTTAGAACGTATAATATCCTTACATATGCTAAACCTAAGCGCCTACTTCAGTCAACTTTTAAGTAACTCGTTTCCACTATAGCCCTGGATGTCTCGTCGTGCAAAAGCGCTTTGACGAGACTCGTTTCCGAGCTCAAAGTTGCCTTCCAACATTTTTAAAATCAACGGCTTACTTTTCCTCTAGTAATAAATGTTTCGTCTGGCTCATACAGCCGTTTCTTGTTTTTTGGACGTAACGTCTAAGCATACCATAAACTATCTACAGTGCCTATGTGCCGTTTATGTATTGGACAACAAAATCAGCCAGCCCGAGCTTTGTCCTTTCTAGTTTCTAACGTTTGCATTATTTCAAAGCGTTTTCATTAGCTTTTAGAAATAATCATATAATCTTTTCTTTTTCGTGGTTGACGTCTGTAAGCGTAACGTAGAAAAGCCGTTGTTGGCATAACGACGGTATTTGATGTCTGGACGATAATAACTACAGAGCGTTGTACCATAACCTACTGCGTACATTAGCAGAAACAAGAGGTTTCACACCAAAAGATAACGTTATTTTATATTTGTGTCCATACACACACAGGGTTATTTTAAAATAAATTGTCGAAAATATATTCCCCGCCTTTTTAGCTGAATAGCTTTGAAAGCCGAGAATCGGCAGCAGTAGATGCGCTAACATTCTAGAAATGCATCTATTTAGAGTTAGGAGCGCTTTAACCATAAATGGAGCTCCGCAAAAAAAATAGTATACATTACAACTCTGTTAGAATGAAGGCAGAGATGTTGTGCAAGCCCACTAAGAAATTGTGACGTTCATGGTCAGAATACGTTATCGAAAGAAGCGGCCCAAAGATAGTTTTGTCACCTTCGATCTGGAAATTTCGATGTAAAGGAAATGCTTTTTGACACATTCATTGCTAAACGAAGTTAGACGATTTGAAAAAAGCCAGTTACAAAAAAGCTGCGGTGTTTGGATGCAACACGATTAGGCGCAAAAGGATTTATTTGGTGGTATCTTCACCTGCGAAACTCAAAGGCCACATACAGTGTCAGCGACCCGGCACAAACTGAGAGGACGTAGATAAATATTATGTACGCATGAGCCGTATAGCCAAAACTCTACATCACCGTAATGTCATCTATTTTGGTTTGTGCACATCCTCCTTAATAGTCCTAACTTAGCTTCAATAAAAAGATATAGAAGGTGTTGCTACAATTTTTCGCCCAAAGTCGACAGAAGTTTGTACTGTGATGGAATTACGTTGTTACTAAAAAAAAAAATCACAGAAGTTCATTAATAAAAATAACGAATATTTAATTAAGTAATATTGTTTTGATATATAAAAATAATCGCTTCGGTTTCGGCATAAAAAATGGCTTGGGAATCTAGATGTATATGACCGAATGGTCAACACCATCCAACTACTTATTTTTCGCTAAACGTTTGTATCTGGAATCATTCATGACCGGAATTTACTAGTGTAGATACACCACAGGCAGTTCGTCCAGCAATGTGTGCACAAAGTGAATAGTAAAATATAGTAAAAAATAGTAAGAAGAAAAGCATTTTTGAGGGGAACTTTGATCATAAGACACGAGTGCAGGTACCACTATTTATAAAGCTCACAAGAATTCTAGTTGGGAACCTGATTGGATAGGTTTTGCGTTCTCATTGAGGAGAAGGAATGAACCATCTTATGTCTTGAAATGGTGTAAAGTGTCTCTCAAGGATACTTTTTCTTGTAACTATTGTACGAATGCACAAGAAGATAGGATACTTTAGGCAGCTGCCCAACTGCAATGAATGACTCAAGTTTTATATGTTGTGTACTGCTGAAGATTTGAGCTTCTATAAAAATGGCTCTTAGAACTATTGCGAACGCAATATCGTTTATCTCAGTGAACGTTTACGAGGCTTCTTTTAAGGCCATTAAATCGTTTCTGTCAAACTTCCGCTGTTTCGTATTAAGGTCAGTCGTTCTATTCAGGATGAAAGCTTCCGTTTCGTCGACGCTCAAATGGCACCATTACTATCGATCCGCTGAACTCAGCTATACGTTCCAGAATAATGAACGTTTATTGATTCCTATAGTGCTGATTGTCGAAGATAGACAAACAGAAACAGTAACAGATTTCGCTGTGGCTAGCTTCACTCCGCTAATAACTGGATTAGCGTTCGCTATACGGAAGCCCACAAAAAATTAGGGAAAATTTACTTTACGGTAACTTGCGTAAGACTATATGGTACTATCCGTAAGTTTCTCAGTCGTATACACGCAACAAACAGAGCAACAAAAAAGCACTGTTGTCCATACTTAGTACAGCTTCCCTTGGGAAAATATATTCCCAAGGATACCGACTCAAATCGCGTACTAAGTACATCGCTTGATACACTCATATACTTGTAAAGTTTTTATTGCTGCTAAACTATTATTTCTATTTGTGAAGTAAGCTTCATCGGTTGCATAGAAGGTAATATTCCATTGCTAACTGCACTAGAATCCAAGCACAACCTTAAGTTACACTTAATTAAAGCTGACCTTCTGTCCCCTACGAAGTGTTTGGATCCCAACTCGTGCGTAATGGATATTACAAAGCAACACATGGCACTACTAGTAACCTACTAGAAAAATGCTTCTTTTATTGTGCTATATATAGTCAACTGAATCGCACACCTTACAGCGACATTATGTGGGCTAAGGCTTCTTCTTAGAATAAATATACAGCTTATTCAAGGCGTCCTAGTAGGTCTTATTGAGAAACTAAACAGGCCATAGAGCTTACTTCTGCCTGCTTACGGACCGTACGTCTGCGGCAGGCACTGTTGAATCCGCACGGTTTTGGACCTTAGTACTGCTATGATAACTGTTGGTGCGGACAACCAAAAATACACTTATCCAGCTAATACTTGAATACGCGTGCCACAATAAGGGATCCGCGAAACAGGTCAGTAGGGATGCTTGTGGTTACAAGTAAACGACTGGCTTAAGGCTTTTCGTGAGGGACTCCTTTTTAGGGGCGCCTGGGGGATCTTCGTAAAAAGGGTAAGTTGGGACGTTCCTATTGCATATATATATATATTATTAGTGAATTAGCTCGGTTTCTGCTTTGAATAGTTGTCGTGTTCTATTGTTCGGACTACGATTGTTTTTGCTATAGTTTGGTTTTTTATTCCCACTGCTTTTTTCAATTCAATTCTTCTTAGTGCTGATAGTTAGATATGATTGCTTATTGTGCGAGATAAAGTTTATTTTGAATTTTCTCTTCACATCTAACTTTATGCTTTTCTCATGCCAAGAATAGAACTTGAGTTTCTCTCAGACGTTACTGTGCCAATATTTGATTTTGACTTTTCGCTGATTCGACACTAAACAAAGATGTATTATCCTGCATGTACTGTTATACAGATATAATATAGCTAACCTTCACCGGTGGGATGCTGCGTTCAACCCAACGTACTTGGATTTATGCGCATATTCGAAATAGTATTTTACTATGTATTTTTAAGAACCTCTTCACACTCATTGGGTCTTATTGATGGTCCTAATGTTGTAACGTAATAAGCTTTTTTTTTCCAATAGAATTGGTTCCATATGAGACACCCACGTTTAGGAAACTTACGCTATCTTATAGAAGTTTTTTTCTTTGTTTGCAACTATATTTATTTGCACAATTGTTATTGCTTTCTGTCCTTACTTTCAGACGTTTTTCCCTGCTGATTGATTATGTATCAGTGTGTGATATTTCAAACTGTAGGCAAAGAAATTAATTGTCTCGTACATTAAAGCGTTGTGCGTTTCGTGTACTCAAGAAATACGTTTTTTTTTTTTATGGCGGCTGAGAAGTATATATGATTCAAGTATCACGTCACATAGCTGTTTCAAATCGCAAGCTAGATTTGCCATGGCCTGTTGGAGACTATATGTAGGGATCGATCATGGAATCGAGTAAACTGTTGTTAATGCGTTGACTTGGTTTCCACGAGGGGAGCTGACGATGTGAGCGACATGGCCAACTTCAGTGAGCCAGTAAATTTCATCCGAACGCCTCTTTCCCCGTTACCAACTGTTAAGTTATAATACTATAACTATGTTGATAAAAACGACCAGTGCGTCTGCTAACTGAATTTAAATACAGCTCACAGCCG